AAATTATCTTAACATGATACCTTATACAGCATATTATGCAAATGTATCAAATGTGAAAATGGAATTAGGTCAAATATCTGCATCATGGCCTAGTGAGCCAGCTCAGTTTATAGAGTCTTTGTAGGATAAACATGATGACTTGTATTAATCACTAGTATTAACATAAAAAGTAGGCAGAAAGCCACAGTGTAATTGCAGGGTCGGAAGGGAGTTGGCCTCCTAGAGATTGATGGCCATTATTCTAAATAAGCAAACTCCAGATTCTGTGAGAGAATATATCTTAAAAAATAAGATGGAGACAAATGGACTGATAGCCGGGAATCCAGCAGTGGACTGACTCAGACCCCTTGAACATGGGTCTTAGAATGCCAGAGACCTTCTGACAGCAGAACCAGGATGTATCCCTGGTGCATAAAAGGAATTTGGGAGCACATTCCCTGTGAAGGATACTCACTTAACCTAGAGGCAGGAAGGAGGGTCAAGTCTCTACTCCAAATGACTTGACACATTTAGATCACATCTCCTGGAATTTATCACCCTACATATGGATTTGGGGGGGTGGGATGGGAGGCTGGGAGAGAGGGAGGGATGAAGGAGGGGTGGGACCTGGGACTGATATGTAAAATAAGAAAAATAAATAAAAACATTACAAAATTAAAACAAAGAAAAATGCATCTTCAAGCTTCAAAATGCCAAAGTTCTTCAGAAATATTCTAAAACAGTGCTATAAATGTAAAACCTTTAGCGATTTTAATCAGAAGAAAAAAGTTTTTAACATTTAAATCTATATAAAACATCTGCTGTTTATGCAATTATTAATTACATGAAGATATACACATTAATGGAGTGAGTAACACTATTTTTCAAATAATATTTCTATTTCAAGCTTAAGTTTGAAGATTTCTTTTTCTTCCCATTTTTCTCCTTTTATAAAAAATAAATATATTTGAGTCTTGTTTATCTTTTAATATGAAGCCCGTTAGCAAGGCAAACCTGTCTACTTTTTCTCAACAGGAGACCTAGTAGCTCTGGAAAAAGCATCTCTTGATTTTTTCCATATGAAATGAGTTAACAAGCCTTGGGGAAGAACCTGGTTGTGTGCTGCTAAGCTGTTGAAGTTATAGTTAGCATAGCAGTCAATACCATCAGAGATCTGGGAGAATAATTATAACACAAAATATAATCCAAATGGTCTGCATAACAACACTAGATCAAAGGAATGTTCCCTGTCATAGCTGCCATGAGATAAAGTAAATAACTGTTTCCCATTCTGATTTCCTGGATCCTTCTAGGTAGAAGTCTATCAGCTGTAACAGGCCCTCTGGCCCTTCTGCTTCTGCTAATTGAAGTTTATTATTTCACCATTGAGGCCTTAACTAAATGATAATTTCTGATGGTTATTAGATCCCAATATAAACAGGGTCCCATCACAGAGTCAAGGATTTGACTAAGGGCACAACTGAAATGGGGAATGTGAGTGCAAAAATTAAACTTTAAGCTATTATGCCTAAGTGAAATAAAATGAAACAAGAGTGCCCCCATTCTGCAAGCCCCTTACCCATGAACAGATAGTTCTTGAAATGCTGGAGACTATTGTTAGTGGGATAAAACAAGCCACATGTGTTTTATTCCTCTAAACAAGTTTGTTTGAGCCATATGCACCCAATGAGCCTTATCACATGTGGGGGGAGGGTTCACAGGCTGGAGGTACTTCAGGATGCTTGCCCCAGATTTGACCTGGTGGAAAATGCAAAAAGAAATATGGGTTTTCTTTCTTAAGCCCTTGCTTTACTGGATTCTGGACCATTTCCCAGTAACCTGGCTATGAACCTAGCCAGTGCCCATCCACCTGTCTAGAATTTAATTAAAGCTTGCTTCACATTTGGCTTAAAAAAATAGATCTATTTTGAATCTGTGGATTGCAAGAAAGAGTACAAGAACACCATAAGAAAGTCTACAGAATCAACTAAACTCTGCTCATAGTGACCCGCAGAGATTCAACTGACAATCAGGGAGCCTGTATGGTACTGACCTAGGCCCTCTACATGTGCATTATGGTTGTATATAGCTTGGTCTTGTGGGACTTCATGTAGGATCAGGGGCTCTCTACAACTCATTTGCCTGGTTTTGGACTCCTTTCCTCTGACTGCTTTTCCATTCCCAGACTTAAAATGAGGATAGGTGCCTAGTCTTAATGCAACTTGATATATGTTTGTTTGATATCCGTGGTAGGCCTTCCATATTCTGAAGGGAAAGTGAGGAGGAATAGATAGAAGGCGAGGGGAAATAAGGGGGATGAGTGATAGGAGGGGGTGACAGCAGTCTCTATGTAAAAATATGAGAGAAAAATTATTGAAAGATTATTTGTTCATACATTATATCCCAATGTGGTCTGCCCTCCCTCTTCTCCTCCCAACACCTCGTGCCACACTTCCCCTCCAGATCACTCCTTTTCTGTCTCTCACAAGGAAAGAACAGTTTTCTAAGGGATACAAACCAAAAATGACAAAATAAAATACAATATGAAAACCATCTTATGCAAGGTGGGCATGGCAACCTAATAGGTTGATTTTCAAGTCACAAAAGCAGGTATAAGAATCAGGGACATCCTCATTTTCACACTCAGGAGTCCCATAAAAATGCTAAGTTAAAAGCTATATATAATCAAGGTGCTGGTCCATACCAGTGTATGCCCTGTACTTGCTTCTCAACAAAAGAATAGTTAAAGAAAATTTGGTACATTTATAAAACAGAGTATTAGTTTGCTTTTAAGACAATGACAATGACATTTTCAGGCAAATAGAACAAGAAAAAAGTAATTATGAGTGAGGTAATTTAGACCCAGGAAGACATGTAGTATATGTTCACTTAAATGGGCATTAGCTGTTAATTCCTTGATAACCAAGTTACAATCCTAAGACCCAAGGGGGTTAGTTATAAAGAAAGGGTCAATGGGGGGCACATTGATCTCCCTGGGATGATGAAATATAGTAAAATTCCTAGGTGGACTTTAGCACAGTGGGAATAGGAGTGGGGGAATCAGATGAGGAGGGTGAAGAGAGACAGGGTAGAGGGAGAGAATGTGGGAGGGTGGATAGATTTGAAGGGCATTTGGGGGTATGATATGGGAATTTATTTAATGTAGTAGAAAGTTTCTAAAGTAAATGAAGGTGACCCAAATAACATTTCCTAATATTGGGTGGCATAGGTTAGCAACTGGCCAACTCTTGTCAGCAAACAAGGCTTGCAGTTGTGGGACTGGATTTCATTCAAATGAATTGTTGGAAAGGTAGGATGCATGGAAATACCCTAACAATTCAGGCTACTGCTAAGACAACATATTGCTCTCTGTGAAATGACAGTGGGCCCCCTGTGCTGAGAACAACACCCACACAACTAACTGTACATAGACAAATAAAGCAGGTGCCTACATGGAGCCTTCAGCCCTATGTTCTAGTGTGTTTTCAGGAAAAAGCTCCTCTGCACACTACCAAAAAAGAAACATAAACAACAACCCAGACACAAAACCTTTTACATATACTCTGTCCTGCCTGCAAATATACTAGGGATATGGGAACAGCGCCTATAGGAGTACCTAACCAATGTCTGATTGTACTTGAGGCCCACTGTTTGAGCTAGAACCCATACCTGTCTCTGCTAAGGTTATTTATCTAGAGACTAGATAGAGACTAGGTAGTCCAGAAACACAGCGTAAAGCCAAATACTACCTGTCTAACAAGAAACTATTAATAAAATGACACCCATTGATAGTATGCTGTAATCATAGAGTACTGAATACTCAATCATCAGAGAAGCCTCCTCCAGCAGCAGATGGGAACATATAAAGAGATCCAGAACACCACACACACACGCACACACATACACACACACACACACACACACACACACACACACACACACACACACACAAACTCACAGAGAGAGACAGATAGATAGATAGAGAGAGAGAGAAAAAGAGAGAGAGAGAAGGATGGGGAGAGTCTAAAGGGAATGTCTCCATCAACTCCTACCTTCATAGTTTATGGAGCTCATTGAAGGGGAAGAAGAAAGAATGGAGGAACCAGAGGGAATAGACCAGATGAATACCAGGAGAACAAAAAAATAAGACCCTCAGAATCAACTAGGCAAAGAACGACTGATCTCATAGAGACTGAAACATATTTACTTACATAATTCTTTTATTTATAATTCATTCAGTCTTTTAAATTTTATTTTACATTCTAACCACACTTTTTCCTTACACCCATTCTCCATGCCACTCCACCTCGCTTCATTCTTAATGGATAGTTTATAAGAATTATTTAAATTTCAGAAACACTGCTTCAGGTGGTAAATCTACAAGCCATTTTTGGAAAATAATTGTACTTACTAATTACTAATACTTTTACCTTTCCTGTTGTTTTGCATATTTTTTAGGAAGATTTCTGTGGATATGTGAACATAATTAATAAACTTGTCCATCACAAATTTGATATGTAACATTTTATTGTCTATTTTAACAGTGTATATTTCTATAAATAGCTATAAAAAAGTTACTATAAGTTTCCTAATCCAGATATTTATTTCTAGACCTTTAACATATATATTCAATATAAGTTGTTAGACATTAAGTTATTTATTGAAACCATTGAAATTTTAAGTGTTTTAATGTTTAAATGTTATAAATAAATTTATAAATTTATTTGGTTTAATAAAGAGAGGCAATGGATTTTCACATTAACAATAAAAAGATTAAAATATGTGGCTAGTTTGAAATTTATATCTTGTCTATAATTCAAATGCTCAGAGACTCAGTAGTATTACTTTTGGTAAAGTATTATTATAATGTTGTCTATCAAAAGGAAGCAGAAGTGAAAATGTATCTTTAGGATGTGATTGTTGTGTGTGGTTTACCACATACAATTATACAACTCAAATTATTATGTAAGTCTTAAAATAGGTTGCGTGCTTAAAAATCTGCATGCTTTTCAGGTACTTACTTTATTATGTTGTTCATAGCATCTGGATCATATGCAGTGACTTGTCCAATGATGCTTCCCTCCTTGACATCTTCATCTACCTCCATCAAGTAAGAGAGCTTACTGAACACAGGGGGCTCGTCTACATCTTGCACGGATATCTTAACCATGGCTGTATCTTTGAAAGGCCCAAGATGCAAGAAGCGAGGGTCTGGGTGGGTATTGCTTGCATCCACTCTTAAAGTGTATAGCATTTTCTTTTCATAATCTAAATTCTGAGTTATAAAAAAGTAAGAAATGTTAGGATATATTGGAAGACAGAGCGATCATTGATTATATGAATGATTAATAATCTTTTAAATTTTAATATCAGCTATGTCTATGTAACTATTTCAATTATTGGTTAATAGTTTTATCCAATGAAATAGCATATGTGCTTTATTTTTATACAATATAACTGTCATGGAATGCATAATAAGGTTGATGCCCATTATGTAATTCACTTCAATTTCCTAGGCAGAGTTACATAAAATATCATTTAAATTAATACTGAATAAATAATAGCATTGTAATAAACATTTTTAAAAATCAGAAGGCTGACTAAAATGTAAGTCTGGAATATATTTTATGTTTGGTCAACTTGAGTGTTTGTGGAAAGAAATATGTATAGGAAAGAAGTGGAAAGTAAAAATGATTAATACTGGCTGTATTATGATTTATAGAGTTTCACATAATTTTCAAACATTCTACTAAAAGCCATTTAAATGCAATACACCAGGATATTTTACATAGTACCCTTTGATATTTTGACTATGAATTGAAATGTAGGAAGCTGCAAGGTCAGTTCTAGTGCTTAGCTCTTCATCCTGTTCACTATATAGACCATCACACTTACAAAAGATACAAGAAATATACGAAGTACCAGAGATGGTTCTGATTTATTGTTTATCCCATAGTGAAATACAAAGTAAGTACTTTTGAGTTTACTCTCAGTCTCTTCTACAACAAGCACAGCCATCTAAGCATGAGTAGAAACTTAACTATCAGGAACAATATATCCCTTATTTGATGTGAATTCATTTTTCCTATTTTCTGTGAAGGATGAACAACACATAAAAATGAGGAAAAATAGATGCATGGTTGTTTTTCTCTGTACTGAAAAGTAAAACAAAATGGAAGAGCACTTATTGAAAATAGAAAGACAGCCAAAAGCAACCTGTTTGACAGTTATGATCCCTTCCTGTGTATCTTTGTCGGTAATCACATCAAACATGTCTGATCCTTCTCCTCCTGAAATGCTGTATTTCAGCTCAGCATTCTCCCCCATGTCAGGGTCATTGGCTTTTATCCTTCCAAGATGAGTTCCAAGGGGTGCAGACTCCAGAGAATTAAATTGATAAGTGCCTGTAAATTGAAATGAAGCTGGCTTGACTTTCAAATTTGGATTATTCAAAATTTTATTTCCATGTAAGTAAAGTGGTTTAAATTGAGTGACATTTTCATCATATTGAATTGTATGCTGTCAAAAGTTATGGATTTGTGGAGCATAAAAATAATGTATAGAAGTTTAACTTTCTCAGTTTATACCTGAGAAAATTAATTTTCATAATTATTAAGAGAATATTCAACATTACTTGAAGAGCTCATGGAAACCTGCTTTAATAATCCAGAACTTGACCTGATGATTATGAAAAACTAGTTGTTTGTTCCTTGATTATGTTGTTAAATAATCTCATTGCACACTTTATACATGCTCAGAATAAAGGAGTGAATGTGCAAGTTTTTAAATAGTCCATATTTTCCATTAATTTTCAAGCATCAATATATTTATTACTATTGTTTCTGATTGTATACTTAAGATTAATGTCTTTAAGTAGCATGTTTTTCATGTCGAATATAGATCTAACCGTGAATTATAATTTTTTCTTCTGTTATGACAAGTATCTTATTCACAAACTTTCTCGAAATGTGTAGATATGGATAAAGAAAGTAATTAAAGTAATATACTTAGACATAGATGCTGGGCATTTTATAAACTCAAAGATTCTTTATGGTAACCTATTTAGTGTTTACAAAGAAGCAACATGGTAAATAATTTTCAGTGGACAGGCCAAATGAAATTATCATGTTCAGCTACGAAAATAAGAAAACAAGAGTTCAGATTCTGATTTCAAAGCCTAATCGCTTTCCAGTGATTTTGTACTTAAGATTAGGAGATTTTACATCTCACTGTGGGATTCTATATTCAATTCTCTAAATGTAAGTTCTAGTCAGTAAACAAGGAAAATTGTGATCACAATTAATTCACAAATTTGTTATGAGGAATAGTGGTACTATGCTATTACATCTGCAGTCAATTTAGTTCATGGTCCAGCCTTCTGCATTTTATCACTGTTACAGAAAATACAGCACTTCTGTTGGTGTGCTACCATATGACCAAACTGCAATGTGGCAATTCATCCATTTATACACTTAGTTTATATTTTAAAAATCTGAATGGAAAGTTTAGGTGACATCTGGAAAGGAAATTTACTGATTTTTAAGTTTCAGAAAATTAATAATTATAATTTAACATGTTGTTACATAATTGATGATTTCAATATTATTATAATATTAACATAACTAAGTTTTAGTGACTTTTTAATTAAACCAAAAGAATATTAAGAGGCTGCCAATTTAACCCACATACATTGCTTTAAATATAGATCCTGTTTTTAGAGATGACAAAGCATGCAATCTGTGTTTTAAGATTCATTAAATAAAGGCTTAAAATGCTTGTTGATAAATTAGCTAAGAGTTGTGAACAGTGTATACTTTTAATGTAAACAGGCAGACTTTGCACCCACATTCTTACCCAGGGTGCTCTGAAGGGTGGGATAGCAATAGTGACTGTGAGGGCACCAGTCTTCAAAGCTGTCTTGCTCATCAAAAGCTGGCAAAAATTAAGTAGAAAAGAGCTTTTGTATGTTCTGTTTTCTTCCATACATCTTTGGGGATAGATAACACCACATTTTTAGCTTAGAAAATTTTAGCTTTTTATTTTTAGGAGGGGGTGAATTGATTTGTTCTCACCACAGGGACTAGAAATGAGGACCCTTAGTTCTGTTGTAATGGTTTGTTTGGTAATAGTCCCATTATCCTGTCTGTACAGCCCGCCTTACTCTGTGGAAACCGAGGAGGGTTGTTGTTGACATCAGTGAGGGTGATGTTCACTGTGGTTGTTCCAGAAAGGCCTCCCATCTGGCCGCCCATGTCCTTGGCCTGAATAACCACCTGATACTGCTCTCTGTTTTCTCTGCTCATGTCTGGTAATGCAGTTTTTATTATGCCTTTAAAAAAAGGGGAAAATTAAAACATTGACCTTTCAAATCCAGGTATATATTTCAAGATCCATTTTACCAAAGAAAAATGGAGAAAATGAGTGTCAACAATTAACTTAATGTAATTCATAAAATAGAAAACATTCTATTTTATGCATTTTCCATTTTATTAGTTGATTTTGCTTTACTTTTTATAACCATTATGTTCTTTAAGCTTTGAGTATTATGTTATTCTGGAAATATAGTAAACCATATGAAATCTTGTAGTCTTATAAATTTAAACCCAATAAATAATAGAAGAGCTAAGTAATCAAATATGTCATCTTAACATAGGATGTTTTATTTAATTTCTATAAAGCAACTGTAGAAAGCAGCTATTCAAAAGTGTCTGGATAGATTTTAAAACAGAAAACTCCCTAAAGAAATTGTAGCCCAGTCTATACTATTTCAGATGAAATAGACTAAGACTTGAGTGAATTTACCTGATTCTGGGTCCACTGAAAAATATGGCTGCCCTTGCAGTATGCTGTAGACCACTTTTGCACTGTTCCCATAGTTGGCATCATCTGCATCGGTGGCAGTCACTTGTATGACAGAAGTACCTGGATCCAACCACACCCCAAGCAGAGACACATAAATTCTTCTAAGTTGTATACTATTTCAAAAACCACTTTCTTATTCATTGTTTTCTTATGTGAAATGAAATCCTGGATTTACTCTTCACTGTGCAAGGTATGAAAATATGATATATTTTAACACAAAGATGAATAAATCTAAATAATTGAAAAATTAATTGGAACATGGGAACATTATGATGAGGAAAGTTCTCATTAAACATAATAAACACCTAGTTTTCAATTAGCATATTTATTGATAAATGAGAAAGTGCAAGGAAAACTTGAACAATTTTATCTTAGTGAACTGTATGTGTAAACATAACAAAACAGAGGTATTGTTATGAAGAAGCAAACAAACAAGTCATATTGCAAAATTTAGCCTCATCATGTCAAAATGCTTGTGAGCAAACATCAGAACAAAACACACACATCAGTAAAAAAAAAAAAGAAAAACAAAGTAAACTATAATTTTTTGGTAACAGGTATTTACGGTACAGATATTTACTATACATAGTTTCAGATATATACTGTGACTTTAAATCCATAAATAGTAAACAATTAATTATTAAACTTTCTCAAAAGTTTAATACGAATTTCATATTTCTTGTATTAACAATTTTATTTTTTACCAAAATAAAAATACCTTAATCCTTTCAATTGTTCATCTAAAGACTATTTCTCATCTAATTTTTACACAGTGTAAGAGTTTTCTAAGGGTATTTGTTTCATTCCTTTTTGTCTTCTTTAGGGGACTATAGGATATCTTATTTCAGTTTGGCTCAACGTGTAGATGAAGAGATCAAAATGACACATGCCTCTGCAGCCCCTTTAGTTGGACAGCTCACCTCTTCTCTATTATGCTTGTCAGCATAATTAACTTGAGAATGAAAGGGACTAAATCTCTCTTCCCTAAGCATTTGAGTTTTGGAGCATTGTGATTTCAAACAGTGCAGTGTGAACAAAAAGAGTCTCAATTAGAAGTGAGAATACTAATCTTCATAGGTAAGAAATAAATGTTGCCTTTTGTTTTTCTTTGAAGTTTAAGTGCTCTCTGGGCTTTAAAATTCAGAATTCATTTAAATATTGTCTTGATACCAAATACAGTATCAAGAACCATGCCATGAGCTATCCATAGGATGGTTAGAGTATGTTTAGCAGATTGGTAAAAATTCATTTGTATTAAAAAGTAAATCTCATGTTACGGGAGGACACATGCCTCTGGGCCATATATCATAGATCCAGTATGTTACAAAAAGGAAATTAGATAAAGTTAGTCTAAGTAAAGGTCACCATTCTAAGTGATTTTCATTGCAGATTTATTGGGGAAAACAAAAACAAAACAAACAAAAAAAACAAAAAAACAAAAACAAAATCACATGTACTTGATGATTCTATAGTAAGCGAGCCTTAAAAAAAGGCCTGAATTATCACAGGAAGTAACCATAATTTGACCTATTTTTAAAATTAACTAAAAAGGAATGTTAGTTTGAAATTTTCTAAGTGAGGAGTACTAGATAGTCTTTTAGAATATAAATCAGATCATGTCTCAGAATTATAAAATATATGCCTCACAAAACATAAAATCCAAAACTGCCCTTAGCCTAAAGGAAAATGCATGTAGCTATAAAAACAGTATTTGATAGTTATAAAGAATTGAATCATCAAATATTTTTAAATTAACATTTAAAATTACTTAGGTCAGTCTATATATTTTTTATTTTTTACAAATAATGATAAATTATATAATTATATTTAATATGAGAAAGATGACATGAGGCATGAGCATATACATGATAAGAACACAGTGAATTGTGGGATATCAAAGAATTTACCAAAAAGAACAGAGAAAAGAGAAACGGTGACCAGCATATATTATATGAAACATAATCTATTTTTAATAAAAGCATGAAAGAACAAAATATTTATCACTAAAATTAAAAATATTTGATAGAGAATTACTTTCTTGCTTTATTTTATTAATTCTTATATGTATGGGTGTTTTGCCTACATGTTTGTCTGTAAAATCATTACTGGGGAAAACAGGATAGGGCATCAGATGCCCTGGGACTCAAGTTACAGACAGTAAAAAGTACAAGACATCGTGTGGGTTCGGGGAATCAAACGTGTCCCCACCCCTGCGCCAGGAGAGGAACGCATGTCATTTATCTATGAGTAATCCTTCCAGACCCCATTGTGCAAATTTAAAAGCTATTAAAGTCTGAACAGTAATGCGTTTAGGGGTGTGTGTGTGTTGGTGTGTCTGTGTGGGTATGTGTGTGTTTGTGTGTGTCTGTGTATGCATGTGTGTGTGCTTGTGTATGTGTGTGTATGTGTGTGTGTGTGTGCCTGTGTTTATAAAAACAAAGAAGGAAAGTGAATTTGAAAAGAGCAAGGAGGATGAATGAGAGTGTCTTAAGGAAGGAATAGGAATTGTAAAATTATGTAATTATATTATAATCTTAATAATAAAAGAATTAAAAAATAAAGAGGTAATGTTGTAAGTTTAAAGATCACAGTAACATATAAATAATTCTGATAAAATATTCTAATAATAACATATGTCTGTAAACCTAATCATACTGGTTACATTTCTAAGTATGCAAAATCAATAAAATACATAATATTTAAAATAATTTGCAAAATAAAATAAAAATGTTTTTCAAATGATATAAGTATATAACCATAATTCAGTTCAATTCAAAATTGATAATTCATCCAGAGATTATAATTTTATATACTTCTTCTCAAATGTAGGTTCATAAAATGCTATAATGTATATCTAAATTAGCTTAATTCAAGGGAAATATAGATCAATCAAGGAAATTTTAACAGTCAAAAGTTATTAGAACATTATTAAAGAAAACCCATCTAATCATATATTATGCAAGATACTTGTGAGCTCAAAAAAACTCCTTTCTTTTCATATAAATCCCCTTTAGTAAGAATGAAAACTAGGAGAAGTGATAAAATATGTTTCCTCAGAAAGGTGAGTTACACAAGATAAAACTTCCCATACACTTGGTTCCTCTGAATAGGCATACTATATCATTAATCAGTAGTCATGCCACATTCTTAGTAAAGGGATATACAATTTTTTTTTGATAATAGGGTTTTTTCCTTCAAACATAAATTAATACACACCCCCCCACCCCCCCACCCCCCCACCCCCCCCACACATATATTGAACTAATAATCAAATAATCAAATAAGTAATGTTAAATATAGAAAAGTACATATGTTGTGTATTATGTTTTTAACCAGTATTGCTTCAGTAATATTTTAAGAAAACATTTAGCTCTTTTTATATAATATAGTTATTATACATTGATAGAATTAAATGTATTAACACACATAATTGTAGTAATTTGCTATACAAATGAGTGGTGCTGAAATTGGGACAGTCTTAGAACTGTGAGAAATTGCTCTTTCCAGTTTGCATGTAAAGCCAAATAGAAGCTATCACATAAATATACACAACAAAATCTGTGAATTTTGGAATGATGCTACATGTTATTTGATTTTCATTCAATTGTTCAATTCCTTTGAATTTTGAATTCCTAATAAACAGGATGGACAGTAAAGTTCTAGTTCTCATATTTATAAAATAAGGTTGTTTTGATGATTAAATGAGACAGTTATGTAGAAGCAATTTGTCAAATACAGCAGTTTTCCTTTTCAGTTTAATATGAGAAGAACTGCTGACAGTTAATTCCACCCCTCTAGGCAGTCATGCCTTTTATAGGACAGCTAGTCTTAATTGACAGAGCAGGTGTTGACTCCAAAGGAATCAAACATCTCCATTCAGTAAATTACAATTAAAATGAGACATTTCCATATTAATAATTGAAAGTACCTGGAATGGAGCTATTTGACTGAAATAAGAATTTCTGTGTACCACTCTTAATTTGAAAGAAGAACACATATAATCACATGCTTCTAAATTTCTTAGTTAAAAAAATAAAATAAAACCATGCTGTGCACACGAGTTAGTAGATACCTACCAACTCCAGACATTTCGGGAACACTGGCTGTGTACAAGTCTTTTGTGAATTTTGGCTCATTGTCATTGATGTCATGAATTTTAATGATGAATTCAGATTCTGGCTCCACTTGCCGCCCAGTCTTTCTGTCTATAGCCTTGGCGCGAAGAATATACAGGGATTTTTCTTCTCTGTCTAATTTCTTTGCAGCATGAATGTCTCCTGTATTTTCATCTATAACAAACAGATTGCCGGCCCCATCTCCTGTCAAAATGTATTTTAAATTTCCATCTCCTTTATCTTGGTCAGTGTGAAGCTTCAAAGATTAGGAAAAAAGAATTCTGTAAATTCTATGGTCATTACAGTGAAAACAATTTGATATGCACTAATTTCTCCCCATATACTCTGTCAGTAATGATATGAACATGTACCTCAGATCAAAGGGAAATTAAACATTTGATATTTTATTATTCTTAAAATATTACAAAGTTATAGTTAGTCCCTATGATAGGGTGAACTTATCATGAATGGTACTTCAGTTCTTCAAAACATAGTGGTTAAAATATGCTTTTGAATAGAATATTACCAACATTTAAGCCTCTAATACAAAAGAGAAAAATAACTTTGTCTCCATTTTGTGTTTAAAATGTCAATCTGAATTATACTTTAAGTAGATAAACTCAAAGATAACATGAGGTACTTACTATTTATTTTAATGATTACTATATAATCAATTCTTTAGTTGTTCCTAGTGTTCTCCCTTGGTGACATGAGCCCTTGAAAGACTGTATTTGTGGAAGCCAGTCAGAAAGAGGAAGTACTTTAAATGTCAAATTATATGCAGTAAGAACTTTTCAATTGAGTTTTTAATTTTACCTATCAATCCCAGTTCCCCTTACTCTGGTCATCCTGCTACCTCCACCTTCCTCTCAACTTCCTCCCCATCCACTCCTCAAAAAGGGTACATTTGCAATAAGATTTTAAGTACTTTTTCTACTACCATATTCTTATATGTGAGAAATGATCTTTATAAACATTTTAAACTTCAAGTGATGCAAAACAAGTGACAGTTATGCCCTGTTTTAAGAAAAATTGAGATGTGTCTTAACATTTATTCTATGAGGATAACATCTCTGTAAAGGCAATCTCTTGCTAGGGGTTGGAATTCACTTTAAAACAATGCCTAAAGTATCCAAGCATGAATTCCTAATACCACAATAATAATGATAAAATATATAAATAATAAGTTAGTATATATAGACAACCAACTACTGAGAGTGAAAGCAAGTGCTCTACAATAATCACAGCCATTCTGAATTGAGTGAAAACTTAGTTTTGACAAGGCAATGTCTCAACTCCTTATTCCTTCCCTAGGGATATGTTTTTGACTAATGAAAGTTAACTCGTGGAATTTCTTTATTGTTGGAGGCTCCTGAGAAAAAGAGAGTATTTAAAGAAGAAAAAGAACCCAGAAAAAGAATTAAAGAGAAACTAGAAATAGTACAGGAGAATTAGAATGGAAACAGAAGAATAAAGAAATTGGCTCAGAAAAACATGGAGTAGGAGATTCTTTCACTCTCAGACATACTGAGTGCTTTACTGGCTGCTGCTAAGACAGAGCTAGCCGATAAGAAACAAGTAACTGACCAACAGCATTATTTCAAATACAGAGTCTCTGTGTGTTAATTTGGGCTGGCATGATTGTGGGAGCAGTGGGACCAGACCAGCTGTAGGAAAAAACTTACTCCTTAAAAATGGCTTGCAGCGTAGCTAATAAGAACTTCCATTTAAAACTTAACAAAAGCATATAAAAGGGTTTTAGAAACAAAACAAAACAAACAAACAAACAACAACAAAAAAAAAAAAAACAGAGAAAAGCAAGGCTTTTTGGTAGCAGCATTTTTCTCAGTTGGGTTCTGTTTTGCTAAAGACAAACAAGGATTTGCATGGCTGTTTCAAGGGAGGTTTCCTGACTCAGCATAAGTGGAACAAAACCACAAAGCTTTTTAAAAAGCTCTGCTAACAATTCATTGGTGTGTATGAGATCTGGCAATGGTAGTGACCACATCTCCAAGCCAGTATTATGCTGCTGGGTGCAGCATAGACAAAGGCAGGGAGTACAGCTCTCAGTACTAGCAGTAAAAGCACCTGCTGCTGGATAAACCCTGGATGACACAGCTATGAATTTCATCATAGCAATGTTGTTGTTTACCTGATAAAAGACTCGTGGCTACGAAAAGATAAATATTTACAGTAAAGACAGATTCACATTAAGAAAACCTCTAAAGGTTTACAATGTGTTCTAAAACATATATGTAGGCTTGGGAGAAAAAAGAAATAAAATGGTTTTAAAAAGACAGCGAGGAGCTGGGTGTGGTGGCACACGCAGTTAATCCCAGCACTCAGGAGACAGAACCAAGCAGATCTCTGTGATTGCAAAGTAAACCTGGTATGCAGAGTGAATTCAAGGACAGATAAGAGTTACACAGAGAAACCCTGTCTCAAAAAAAATGAAAAAAAAAAAGAAGAAAGAAAAAAGAAAGAGTAATAAAAAAGCCACATGAAGATGGAAACACAGAAAAACTGTGGATACTATATGTTATTCTGTTGTCTTTAAAGTTTTTGACTGCTGAGGAAATAAAAACTGATAAAGGAAATGCTGCTGGATTAAGTCAATTTATATATTTCAAAAATGTTTTGACTCCAAAATTTAAGTCTAAGGACAAGTTACAGGGGAAAAGGATTTCTATTTTTGTTTCCACAGAAAATGAAAAGCTGTGTATTCTTTCCAGGCTAATGTGGTTTGATCAAGCCAGTCCCCCTGAAACAGCGTCCCAGGTGATCCAACATTCAAAACAGTTGGGACATAGCAGCCTTGCAGAATATAGCCAGGAATTCTTCATCTTCTTAGGATCCTCATGACAGTGCCCCTTATCAGCACGAAGCAGTTTGGAAAGAACGATGCACAAATTCCCAAATACTGTTTATAAATATTTGTTTTCATTTAAATGGGGTTGGTTATAAATGGTTAATGATCACAACCAATATTTTTTTAAAGGTAAAAAGGGCATTATAGTATAGATATGAATACTTTGTTTTGGAATGGATTTTCATTTATTGATACAATTTAAGGTCAATTTTGTGATATATTTCTCCTCTTGTTTAGGTATTGTGTTTATATAGCTCATTTAAATATAACATATAACTTAGTACAGATTATAGGTAGTTAACTATGATAGTCAAATCTTAGAGTTAAGTTAGGTTTTCAAGATGTATTTGAGATGGATAGGAATTCTTCAAAAGTTTCAAAACCTACAGTATATGGCATTTAAAATGATTTAGGTGATGCCAGATGTCATTCTGTAAATATGTTTCTCATACTGGTTAATGAATAAAGCACTGTTGGCCAATAGGAAAGCAAGATAGGCGGGACAAGGAGGATTCAAGGAAGTAGTGGGGAGGTGAAACATGGAGAGACTGGAGAACAGAGGTCTGGGCCCAATCTCCGGTAAGATGAGACCACGTGGAAGTACTTAGATTAATAGAAATGGGTTAATAACTAAGACAGAGGTAGCCTATAGGAAGCTTGTGTCTGGCCAACAGCATTATATTTAATCTAGAGTCTCTGTGTGTTATTTGGGGCTGGCATGGCAGTTCGTCCAGGCTGGCAGGAAAAACCTTACTATGGGGCTGGACTCCAGAGACTCTCATTAGGCTGGCACATCCTAGCACCTTTGCTAAACTTCTGTAGTCTAGGGGCTGTGCTGATCTTCACCCTATTTTCTTTCCTATATAACGGAGCATCTTTACTCTGCTGGTTTTCTCCTCTCCCCTAGGCCCTCTGCTCACATGGCCCAGCTTAAGGTGATGCTCACTTTGGATCCTTCCAGATGCCTCTGGCTCACATTTACAATAACTCTTCTCCTCCACCATACTTAGTAGCAGTCATGTCCTTCCTTTTTATTTTTCTTTCCTTCAGGTATTAATGCCTCCAATATGTTCATTCACCTGAACAACATACCCCCAACTATTAGCACTGTTTTATAGGTCGTTGTATCTTGAGGATAAAGAGCCTTGCTGGAAACATGAGTCATTTGCAGTGGACCTAGGATATTTAATAATTTGTCTTCAATTCCATTACCCTCTTTGATTCCTGAGAGCAAATACAGTATGATCAACTGTCTCACACACACTTGCAACCGTACGTTGACCAGCATGATGATCTTGTCTGATTAAGTCCTTCCCTGATAATGAGATTGGTGACCACCTGATATGCCACCCTAGAGTCTTTATCAAATAGCTGATGGAAGCAGAAGCAGATACCCACAGTTGCAGAAAGGGACACATGATGAACAAAAGGATCAAGACCAGGCTGGAGAAACCCACAAAAACAGCTGATTTGAACAAGGGGGAATCTCTGAAACCCAGATTGATAGCTAGGAAACCAGTATAGGATTGACCCAGAAAACCTGAAAGTGGGTGTCAGTTAGGAGGCCTGGGCAATCTATGGGGCCTCTGGTAGTGGATCAGTATCAGTATTTATCCCTATATCTGGCGAGTGGACTTGGCGGCCAGGTGTTGATGGAACATGCCTTTAATCCCCGCACTTGGGAGGCACAGGCAGGCAGAACTCTATGAGTTCCAGGCAAGCCTGGTCTACAGAGCAAGTTTCAGGACAGCCTTCAAAGCAATACAGAGAAACCCTGTCTCGAAAAACAAACAAACAAACAAACAAAAGAATGGGCTTTGGGATCACATAGCCCATTCTCATTCCACAAAGAAGGATACTCTCTCAGCCTAGAAACAAAGGGCAGGGCTTATTCTCTGCTCCAAATGGTTTTGCAGACATTGAAGATTCCCCTATGGAAGTCCTCACTCTCTCTGATAGCAGAAAAGAAATGGGATAATTGGCTGGGGAGGGGGTGAGGAGAGGATGGAGAGAGAAGCGGAATTGACATGTAAAACAGGATTGTTTAAGTATTTTTCTGTTTTTTTTTTTTTTTTTTTTTTTTTTTTTTTTTATGAAGTGGGCATGACACCAGGGGAAGAGGATTGTTTTGTCAATGTTCAGCAACACAGATGCTGATGCATCAGGGCCATCTTTAAAGTAGCTCATAAATTGTAAGCTGTAGCCAGTGGAAACTAATATATGCCAATGCACCAATGCTTCACTATTGAAAGGGTGATTAGACATCTGCCTTACAGGAATGAGTCCTTTCAATACAGCCTTTTCCCTTTATATTCAAACATATGACAAAGCTTTTTTCCTGGAACATACAATGAGCTTCCAACAGAAATCAAATACAGTTGTCCTTG